CCTGCGTCCGCTTGGCGCGTGTCCTTGAAAGGCCAGAGCAAAGTTGTAGGTCTCTGCCGAAATGCGCGTGTGTTCGAGACGTTCACGGTCATGCAAGAAAAAGAAGCAGTACTTCCTGAAATTAAACTCTACGCTTTGGATGCCTCCTGTATGTGTCTGTGGTGCCCGCAACATTAGAGTGATCTGTAGACCACTCCCTTACGACAGCGACGTGTGCCACTGCAGCAGTGCCAAAGCATTCGCGCGAGAAATCTAAACCTGGCATGCCATAAGCCGTCATGACTATCGAGACATCTGTTGTAATGTAGTGAACCCCTCTCCCCAGCCGCGCCTGGGCCGGGGCTGCCTGGTTCTCGGCAGAGGCCCTGTGCCGAAACTTCAAATTTGCGGGAAAGTCGGGCCAGTATTTGAATGCCTTCTTTTCCTGAAGCCAACTGATGACACGCCGTTGCCAGAATCTGCCAGACACACGACGGTCTCGAGGTCTGGAGCAAGTAACTGGGTCGCCCGAGCCTTGAACCTGGAAGTTCAACCCCCTCATGAAAGCTGTAACACATCAAACAAACGATGCTCCCACCCAGAAGTCCTGAAGGCCTTCGATGCTCAGGTTGACGTCCATGTAAACCCTATAGTAAAAAAAGCAAAAGCCCCCAGCCTTGACGTTATATCGGATGCCCCCTGCATCCACCCACATCCGCCCACGCCTCCTGGCTCGCTCCAGCGCAGCTGCTTTGCGAGCTTTCTCCTCCTCAAAGGCCTGTGACACAAAGACGAGGGTCAACAAAGCAAGACTACCTTTGCATGGAAAGGACTGTGAACCAATGAAACCTTAAAGCGGTGCCCGAAGACGCACGACTTCCTCGTCGATTGTCGCATCGGCGAACTTTTCTGATGTCGCTCTGCGCGCCTGCTTGGCGCGATCCACCCCTGCGTCCGCTTGGCGCGTGTCCTTCAAAGGCCAGAGAAAAGTTGCACGAAGTCGAAGGTCTCTGCCGCAATACACTTGTTCGAGACGTTCATGGGGCAATGCAGGACCAAGGAAAAGCAGTACTTCTTGGAAGTGAGTCCTGCGCTTGAGATGCCTGCAGTACGTGTCTGTGGTGTCCGCAGCATTGGAGTAATCATTGAAGTTATCTTCGACATTCTGTGACCCCCTCACGACAGCGATGTGTGCCACTGCAAGCAGTTGCGAAGCCTTCGCACGAGTCAAGATTCTGTGGCATGCCGCGGCCCTTAAGGCCGTCATGACTACCGAGACTCTATCGCAACCTTCCATTGCCCAGCCGCGCCTGGGCCGGGGCTGCCTGGTTCTCGGCGGAGGCCCTGTGCCGAAACGGGAAAGTCAGGCCGAGGGGTTCAGTGCTTAGCGACCCTTGCATGGGGAGAAGATATTGAATGCCTTCTGTTTGTGAAGTGAACTGATGACATCGCCGTTGCCAGAGTCTGCCAAATACACGAAGGCCCAGGTCTGGATCAAGCAAAACCTTGAACCTTGAAGTGCAACCCCCGCCAGTGAGCTGAAACAAGCCAAACCAACGATGCTCCCAAGCCCAGCAAGTTTCGCATCCGAGAAGCCCTCAAGGCCTGCGATCGACACATTTACATAAATCCATGCAAGCCCTTATAGAATGATTCCCCAGCATCTACCCGCATTCACCCATCAAAAATGGCCATGCCTCCTGGCTCGCTCCAGCGCAGCTGCTTTGCGAGCTTTCTCCTCCTCAAAGGCCTGTGAAGTGAAGACGGCCGAGGGTCAACAAAGCAAGACTACATCTGCATAGGTAAAATCGAAATACTTAAGTGGGGCAAGCATGTCTGCATGTTTTTACAGACATCTACGTAAGCTTGAATGCATATCGGTGGGTAGGTAGGTAGGTAGGTAGGTAGGTAGGTAGGTAGGTAGGTAGGTAGGTTGGTCGATCGGTCGGTAGATAGGTGGGTAGGTATGTATACAAACCTGCAAACATGTACGTATGTATATGTATATTTATATGTATAATATGCATGTCTGTCTGCGTGCTCGTCCGTGCGTGACTCTTGGAGGCATAACATTGATTAGATTGCATGCACGACTGTATGACAAAGTATTGCATGCATCCATGTCTGTGAGGCTACAGTGCGCATATTGGTATTGATGCACAGAGTGTTGCCGAGGCCTGACCGAGGTGGAAGGCGCGAAGCGTTCACCACAAAACCGTGTGTATTGTATGTACACATATACAGGTCAGATGGTGTGACAGTACATATTCTGAAAACCGGGCCCATGTCCGAGGTAAGATCGATGTAGTTTGGCTAGCCAGAAGAATGGAAGACATCTGCAGTTATGAGTCCACGCGCACTGAGCGAAACATGCAAGCAGGAAGATCAGTCAGTTCTCTATCCAAGAACCATTGCCGAAGCCTGTCTAGCACGGTCCACACCCGCATCGTTCTTCGTAGCCATGTCCTGGACATCTGAGCAGCATGCATCTACTCCGCCAACGCGTCACGCACGAAGGCTAAAGACTGTCCTGCGGAGCGTCTGCCCCTCCACGGTTGGGGTGGCTGTTCTCGGCGGATCCCCTGCGCAGTCTGATTGGTAAATTCGAACATCAGGTTAATGTAGAGGCCTTAAGGTTAGAATAGGGCTTTAGGCTCATTCATAGTAAAATTATACTAAGGAACCCTAACGGTAATATTGGTAATTATGTAGGCTTCTATATTAGGTCAAGTCAGGCTTCCTGCCTCCTGGCCCGTTCCAAAGCTGCTGCTTTCCTGGCTTTCTCCTCCTCGAAGGCCTTCGCGCGGCAAGAGCGGACTCGGTGCTTTCGTCGCGCTCTCCCAACTGAGCCAAAGGTTGCAGATGTTGCTAGCAGGTTGTATGCTTTTAGGAGTAAGAAAGGGCTGTGGGACCGACTAGCCGAGATGGAAGTCAATGAAGCGCGCTGCTCTGCTGATAGTCCTCTCGCGGTGCTGCGCATCCCTGGGGTTCTCGACGTTCTTATCAATCCAACCTGTAAGCCTTCCGATCCCAGCTTGGGCCCCCTTCTGCCATCTTGTCGCCGATGGCACTGCTGCTACTACAGTATGAGCATCAAAATACTTGCTGATGTTGCTTGGGCCGACTTGCACCACAGGTACCATTGCCATTGCTATTACGGTTAAGGCTGCTGTTGTTGCTGTTGCTATGAGCCTGTGCTGCTACAGCGGACATGATTCCTGTTGACCACCTGCTTCGCTCTGTCCACACCGGTGTCGTGGTAGGATCCGTCCTGAAACCAGCGACACGAAGAGCAAATGCCAGATTGCGCAGCTATGGCCACTACGGCCAAAGTGGCGAGAAGACCCCTTAGATAGCCTTAGATGTGCAGGCTTGCATATGTGATATGTAGACATATAACATGTACACCCGTGCATTCATTCATCCATACATGCATGCTCTTTATGCCTGTACATAAGTATTGTTGCTTGATGCACAGAAACCCAGATGACCACAATAGCGCGACAGCGGCAGAAAGATACAGTAACATCAGCGGATACAACATGAAATACACAACCCCTGCCGACAAGCAAGCTATTATGCAACAGCTACAACCGTGATCATCGGAGCAGGATGACAGAATCCTGGTATAGAAACCGGCACCATGAAGTTCATGCATGACAGCAGCATGTGCAGCACTGGACAATGATGTGCAAACAACATGCAGGATTGGCACAAATACTCGTGCCAGTTGCCCGCACTTGTGCTCGCGAACCCCTCGACGACGACTACTAAAAAAAACACTAGGATGACGAAAGAACAAACTTCGACTTTCAAGACTTCACGATGACGACTACGGCTAACATCACTAACAAACAACTTACGCAAGCTGAAGGGATGTGCAAGGCTCGAGAATTGCCAGAACGCTTGGGCGGAACAGGTGATCCTGAATCTGCGACTTTCCCCGTCGCACCGGCTTGCGCCTAGCAACGTTGCGGAATATCGACCCTTATCGATCCATCGCCACGAGACCAAACCCTAAAGCCTGAACCCTAAAGTCCTAAAGTAACCATAAACCTTAAACTTCTAAACCCTGAACCCTAAAACCCTAAACCAACCGAATAACCTTAAACTTCGAAGCCCTGAACCCTAAAACGCTGAACCAACCATAAACCCTTAAACTTCTAACCCCTAAAACCCTAAACCAACTGAAAAACCTTAAACTTCAAACTTCTACACCCTAAAGCCTAAGCGAACTCTAAACCTTAATCTTCTAAGCCCTAAAGAATCTCAGGGGGCTCAGCCTGGCCTGGTTCTGTGCCGCAGCGCGCGCTGCTCGGGCTTTGTCCAGTGCCGCCGCCTTTGTCAGATCTCGCAACTGGGGCTTCGGGGGGGTTTAAGGCTTAAGGCTTAAGGGTTTTAGGCCTTAGGGTTGCAACTTCGATTTTCTAGGTTGAATATGCTTCGTGCATCTTCCGGAAAGTCGTCCGAAGTAGGTTCAAGACCCTGCCTTGCGAGCTTTTTCTTCGGCGAAAGCCTTCCGAGCCTTCGAGCAAAGTCGCTTGCATGGTGTGTAGGTGGATTCTTTCCACAATTTCCGAGCGGCATGTTCTTAATGTCTCTTCGCACGCTTGCCTTCTCGATGCTGGAGTCCTGTGGAGTCTCCTCCTCTTCCTTCGACTGGCCTGGGTCCAAAGTCATTCATGACAACAACAAAGCTTTGAACAGGTTTGCTTAGCCGTTGAAACGAACACTTCACTTCAAGTCGCACATAATATCATGCTTATATATCTAGCTGCCGCTAGTCCCGTTTAACTTTCTAGCAGTGCAAGACACATCGAGAGAAATCATCTTCCACGTTTTGACTGGCCATTTCTGGCCCGGTCGGGCGCCGGACATGAAGGTTCTCTGGGCTTTCAAAGTAACCGGAGAAAAAGTATACACTTTTGGTTCATCATGTGGGTGGTTGTCAAGATTATGGTCCCTTTTTGGGTCCTTGTACCCCAAAAGGGACCCTAATTTTGACAACTACCCATGTCAAAAAGGTTACTGTAAGGAACAGCTCGAGAAAGGTACTACAGCATGGTACTCGAGAACCAGGTCCTGCTAACAGCATGTGTCTCTGGATGGATCTGCGCATCCGTTTGCTCCGTCCTCTCCCTGAAGTGGCAGGCTATGCAATCAGAGCTGTAAAATCCTCTATTCAAGTCAGTTTGTTAAACTCGGGCTCCACATTTCTGTCTGAACCTGAGAATCCTACTGCTTTGGTTCTGTCTTCTTGTATGCGTAGCAGCTAGCTCTTAATAGAGCAACTCTGGCTGCGTCACCCCACTTGTTGCACACAACCCCCACTGTTTACTGTCTGGTCGCTGTCGGCCCCATTCACGCGTATCCAAACAGCTCCGTCGTTCCACTCCAGCTTTCCCTCGGAGTTCAAGGTCCCTTTGTAGACCTCGCTGCCCATCTGGAAAGAGCCTTGGTCGTAAGTCGCGGTGGCAAAATCTGAACTTGTGGCGCAAGGGCAAAAGGCCGTCGCAAAGGAACGCACTTATGCAGGCCAGGGAGCACGTCGTCTGGCCAGTGATTTTCAGGTCGAGCTGGCCGCCATCTGGGCCGTACATGCGCGAATCCTTCACCTTGCAATGGCTGGTGCTGGCAAGCAGCATCTCCGAATCACTCTGCCAAACTCGGTTTCGGCTGTCGGCGTTCTGATTGTGACAAGCCTACGTCGAAAATCATATGACATGCAAGGCTGGCAGTCGCCAATCAAATTTGCTAGTTCGGGCAGCCGTTTCCAGCTGGAGTCTTTTCAAAGTTAAGAATAATTGCCGTCAAGGTGGCGACGACCACCGTCCCCTCGTCGTCTTGCCATGCTCCTAGCGGCTCAAAAGCGCGATGCTTGGTCTCGGACCGGTAAGGCAGATGCAATGCTCCAGCGTGTCATGAACACCATGCAGTAGGCTGGCAGGCGGCAATGGTAGGATCCATTACAAGCACTGGCTCCTTTAAGGCCGGATCCAACAGGCTATGGGCAAGCTCTGCACCTAAAACTCTCAGTTGAACTGATGGATCCTGCGAAAGCGCCATCCCTTCCCGAGGTTACCATGGCTTGGACGGGCGGACAGAAGATCCGGTGAATGCTGTGGAAGCCTTCGCTAAAGTCTGCAGACTTGCAGTTACTTGAATGTCTGGCAGCTACGGAACCCGAAAAGAATCTTGACATACGAATTCGCGTGTTCTGCCACTGCACCAAGTATATGAGTATGACACACGTGCTGCATGCTCTGCAGAAGTTTGAAGACTTATTGCAGTCCCAAGTCATGCGCTCCTGTCATATTTTTTGCAGCGAGGGCGCAGCCCCTGTCTTGAACCCAAAAGAAGAGCCGGAATTTTTCTGCTCACAAGAGGAGCGTGCCCAAGGAGGCTGCAAACTGCATGTTGAAGCAAGACAGCCATTTGGGGGTTTCCGAAAATAGGGGACCCTAATATAGTACCCTAAATGATAGGATCCTTATTGTAAGGACCCCAAAATAAGGTACCCCCCCCCTATTTTCGGAAAGTCCCATTTGCAAGGTGTTTCATTGGGTCACAGAGGCCTACTCAAATCCCTGCGCTTCGACATCCCGGAATCCCGGCAAGCTCGGCTGGAAATCTGCAAGGAAGACATGCGAGCAACGAGATCGCGCCAGAAGTGGCCTGAGAGGATCCCTGCGGCGGCGGCGGGGGTGGAGGCTGCATTTGGCTCCTGCAAGGCTGCTCTTCAAGTTGATGTCTGGTAGCTAAGCATGCAGCAGTCCACTCCACAGGCTCAACACTCAAGACTGTGAGAGTTTCAGAAGCTTGGTTAAAAAAAGCATACAAACCTTTCAAACCTGGACATTAGGACCTCGGTTTGAAAGGCCGTTTGCAGGACTCAAACTTTAAGAACATCCGGTCAGGTGGTCCGTGCAGAAAGTCACCGCTTCACCGCCCTGGAGCTCCATGGTGGTGTGCTTCCCGACATCACCCCCCCACCCCGGTTTAGGGTTTCGACTCTCACGCTCGCACGGTTTAGGGTTTAGGGTTTAGGGTTCAAGTGTTGCCAGAAAGCCACAAAGTGTAGGCCCACATCCCAGGATCATCATCCACACAAGCATTACTCCCAAACTGCCCATAAGCCCCTGGACCCTGGGTCTCAACTTTGCGTCAAGATCATCCTCATGGTCTCCAAGGCACGGGTAGAAAAGGAGCTCATCTCCACACCCCGGAGCCACATCACATGGGTACTTTTCTGAACCAAAAGTGCCTTCTCCGGATCTGCCACTCTTATAACTCACAGCTCATAGCGGAATCTTAAGAAACGGAGGCTGGTTTGCGGGAAATCGCCCGTCACACCTCTACACTGTAGATCCCCATAAAGCTCCTGTACTTCCTAGGTGAATCTGTGAAGTAGGGCGTTTCGCACGAGCTCCCCCCCCCATAGTAACACCGCAGGTATACACTCACCAACGTTACGAAGACACCCTTTGGGTACTCTTCAATGCCCTGGTCTAAACCCTGAACCCTAAACCCTGAACCCTAAACACACTGCCACACATTTAGAAAATTCAACCGGGCGACTTCATGAAGCCCATGAACCCCGAGGCCCCTTCGTAGCAGCCCTCCTACTACTTAAAGGATCATGGGACT